AAAGCCATTTTTATTTGTGGATGTGTGGATGGATAGATGCTGTATTCATTTTCTAAGGCAGCCATTGCAAGTTACTGCAAACTTGGTGACCTAAAATAACAGAAATTTATTCTTTGAAAGTCCTGGAAGCCAAAAGTCTGAAATCAAGGTATTGGCAAAGCTGGTTCCTTCTGAAAGCTTTGGAGAAGTTCCCATGCCATGCCTCTCTCCTAGCTTCTGGGAGCACAGGCTTGCTTTGGCTTTTTGAAGCATTATTCTGGTCTGTGCTTCTGTCTTCACATAGTCACCTTTCCTCTGCACCTCCCTCTCTCTTCTGCGCTTGTGTGTGCTTCCTCTTCTTATAAGGACACCGGTCATTGGATTTAGGGGCCCACCATAATTTCAGGAAGATTTCATCTGATAATCCTAAATGAATTACACCTGCAAAGGCTCTATTTTCAAATGAGGTCACATTCTGAGGTTACATGTGGACATGAATTTTTGGGAGCTGTTATTCCACCTGCTGCACATGCTTAACTAATTAGCAACCAGTTTAAGCAAACTATGAAATTGATGAACATCCAAATCACTTCTTCCTCTTACTTATTTTTTTAAATTGTGCTTTAGGTGCAAATTTACAGAGCAGAATTTGTTTTACATTCAACATTTCACATACATTTCATTTAACTCCCCAATTACTATCCCCAACTCTAACCCACTTTCCTCCCCTCCCTTCTAAGTAATCCTACCCCTCACCCTTCTTAGTTATGTCCACTTGTCTGTCCAGCTTTTCCTCCATGTGAATGTTGCCCCTCTGGTGCCCCATGGCTGATTGGTTCAATGGATGCGTCTCTGTAGAGTAGGTGGGTGCATCGCCCTGGGTTGGGTGTTCTGCATGTAAGTCTTATTACTGTTGGGCTGAGAGCCTGTCCTTGGAAGTGAGTTTTATCCCAGGCCCAAAGTGTATCCCAGGGCTATATATAGTCTTGGGGGTCCCACCAGACTCCATCTGATCAGTAATTTTGGTTGTTATTGTGTTTTTGAATTTTGTTCCACATTTTTCTTCCCACTCTATTCCAGGATCTCCAGTTTTGATCCCTTCCTGAGTGGTTGGCTTTGTAGCTGGGCACCATCTAGTTCTTCTGGTCTCAAGGTCCATCATATCCTGGGGCTTATTGTTTCCAAATCCCCTTGGTTTTCTTCACTCTTCTTTGCTTCCGATGAGAGGAGACCATTAGCTGCATCTTAGATGGCTGCTCAAAAGCTTTTAAGACCCCAGTCACTACTTTCATAGTAGGTTGTCTTTCATAGTAGGTTGTGAAACAAGGTTTTTATATATTAGGTTGTGCCAGTTGAGCCTGGTGTCCCCCAGGACTATGGTCCTGAATTGGCAAATCCAGTGGTTCTCTCTCCCAAGGTGTCTGGCTGTCTATGAGGGATTGGTCCATGTCTGTCTTCTGTTGCTTCTGTAATGATTGAGGGTATTTTGTATCACCAATATCTATGCAAGATTAGTCTCTGCTCAATCTATCATTGGTTTAGAGTATAATCCTTTTCACTGACCCCCATCTGATCTTCTCAGTTGTCTGTGTATTTATCTGTAGCTTGGTGTTAGTGGTAACGTAGTATTGTGGATATACTGGTGTTAGCCTCTGTCATCTACATCTTATGTGCACAATTGGGTGGCCTCCCTTTCCTCATTGTCAGCATGCCTGTCACTGACTCTTTCCATCCCTCCCCTTATCCAAATCAGCATGTGACCCCCAACTAGTCCAAAATTTTGCCATCTCCTTCCTTCCTTCCCATCCCCAGTAACCTGCAAAGTGAATTCCCTTCCCTAAGCAAACCCTTCCTCGACTTACTTTTTATACTCGTGGGCTCACATGATATTTTCTTTCTGCAATTGACTTATTTTACTCAGCATAATGTCCACGCTCATCCACATTGTGAGATGATTCATGTGTTCTTCAATGTAGCACAGTATTCAATCCAAATCACTTCTTGAGTATTCCAAGAAGTTACTAAAGCATATTTCTCTCTCTCTTTTTTTTTTTTCTTTAGAGTTGCCTCCATTAGGGACACTCCTGGATCATTTAAAAATCTAATTAAGGCATGATGGCCAACAGCTAGGGCAGTTACTGTTTGATGATTGTGTATGAATTCATCTTGGCTCTCCCCTTAGCTAGTCATTAGTTGTCTGGAAGTGTTTGACCTAAAGGTGCTTATTTGAGATTAGAAACCAAAAGAAGGATTTCTGTCAACCTTTGCCAAGCCTCACTTTTCTGCTTACTCAGTGCTAAAGTCTCATGCTACTTTACTGACACTGTAATTACTCTTTAATTTTTTTTAACAGTTGTATACAACTTCCTATAGGAAATCAACACCTTGTTGTAAATATTTAATTAGGTTTATACTTTTAATCACTTCTTTCATATTTATGTTTTCTTCAGTAGTAGATTGAAAACTTTCCCTCTTGCTGGTAGTTTGATTCTCTGGGCACAGTTTCTGCCTTCATGTGTTTTACAAATGAAGCTTTCCCTTAGTGTTTGTTCTCTCCAGTAATTGAATTTTGCTTCCACCAACATTTAAGATAGTGTGACAGGGAAAGGCAAGAAAAAAATCAGAATAATAGAGGTTATTTGGAGGAAGCCGTTACTGCATGGATAAAAAGTCTGAATTATGGAACATTTTTAAGCAAGAGTTGTTACTTTTAAGCACATATGGTGAAAGAAACCAGGCATAGCCTTCACCAGTGGGAATCCATGGGGAGACCTGTTTTAATGAGTAGATAAGATTGCTTATAATTCATATAACAATTTATATGTAAATGGGTGTATCTGAAAAATCACAAGGGCGCCTGAGGGTATTCAAAAAATGTTGTCTTTCATTAATAATGTCTAAACATTGCTGCTACAATCTTGTTTACATTATTTCTATCACAACAAAGGTAATCCCTCAAGCCTGGTATCACCAGAGTTGGTGTATTAGTTATATATTATAATTGCATAGAAAATTATCCCAAAACTTTGAAACCCTACGCGTGTATTCTCTCATGAAGTTCGTGAGGGTCAAGAATCTGGGAGTACTTGGGTGGTTCTCCTTCAGGGTCTTTCATGAGATTGAGTTAAACTGTTGGCCAAGGCTCTGAAGGGAGGATCTATTTACATACTTCATCATGTGACTGATGGCAACAGGTTTTAGTTCCTTATTCCATGTTATTCCATGAGCCTCTCCATAGGGCTCCTCTTGATGGTTTTCTTAGAGTGCATGATGACACAGAGAGAGAATAGGCATCAGTATCTTTTAAGATATAATCTTGGGAGTGACATAGCATCCCTTCTGCCCCTCTATTGCTGTTGTCATACAGACCAGCACTGGTTCAGTGTTGGATGGGACTGCACAAGGAGTCTGCTTGCAAGTTCACTCATGTGCTGTTCGAGGAGACTTCCATTCCTTACCACAGGGAATTTTTCATAGTGGCGTAGTGCCTAAGGCATTTGACTGCTAACCAGCAGGTCAGCAGTTCAAACCACCAGCCACTCCTCTGAAGAAAGATGGGGCAATCTACTTCTGTAGTGATACTGCCTTGGAAACCCAAGGAGGGGCTGCTATGAGTCAGGATCGACTCGATGCCAGTGAATTTGGTTTGGCTTGGCTTGGCTTAAGCAAGACGTCCCCAGAGTGAGTGATTAGAGGGAATGAGAGCAGCACCTAAGATGGAGGCCATCTAATCTTGGAAGTGACACAACATCACTTCTGCCATACACTGCTGTTCACACAGACTAACCCTGGTACAATGCGTGGACTGCACAAAGGTGACTACTAGAGACTTTAGAGGCTGGCTGCCACAGTTGTCATGTGTCTTACTAACATAGTGCTATTGCAACAAACATACTACAGCATGGATAAGCTTTAAAGAACAGAAATTCATTGTCTCACAGTTTTGGAGGCTAAAAGTCCAAATCAGGGTATAAACTGTAGGAAACAATCCTACCTTGCCAGTAGTCCTGGGTTTATTGTCACATGGTCGGTCTTTCTTATGTCTGTTCTGTTCGCTTGTAAAGCACCATGCAAAAAAGATAAGGTTTAGAACATACCCTGCCTTGGTATGACCTCATTAATTTTACAAAAGCCTTATTTCTAAAGAGGGTCACATTCACAGTTATAGGGGTTAGACCTTATTTAGACCATAGCATGTAACCAGTCAGGTGTTCCTTTTTCAAACTGTTACCTGAGTAGGATGACAGACTCAAAATGTGGAATTACTCACTCGGGTCCTGACATGAAAACGTGCCTTAGTCTGGGTTCTCTACAGAAGTAAAACTAGTGAAGCTGAGAGAGAGAGAGAAATTTATCTCAAGGAAATGGCTCACACAGTTGCAGAAGCTAGCAAATCCCAAGTCCATGGGCAGACATTAAGCTGGAGGCTTCTCCTGACTCACGTAGCTGCCAGTACTGACAAACCCAAGATTGGCAGGCCTCTGGTTCAAGGCCAAGAACTGGAGGTCAGATAGTGATGAGCCAGATGTGGGATCCAAATCAAGCAAAGAGCCAGTGAGCTTTGCCAGAGCTCTTCCATATATATTAGAAGTAGGCCACACCTTTCAACTGATTGGCTGCTTATAGCAGGTCTCATCACAGAGTTGATTATATTATTTCAGAGCTCATCATGGGGGAGGTCTACATCATACCTGCTAAACCACTTTGAATTGTGATCCAGATAAGTTTACACACAGTTGTAACTATCCCAAAATGATTCCAGCTGTTCCTAAGTTAAGCGCACTCTCTCTTGCTTCTGCAAACTTCTAAAAATCTTGCAAAAAATTCTATTTGCATCAAGTTGGTACACATCAGTACCATGTGATAAAACATAACCATGGATGTGATACTAGGAGGCACGTATTTTGCCCATTAGAGCTTTACAGGAGTCTTTTGTACACTTCATTGTCCATGGTGTTCTTGGTGGTTTCATTTCCTCCTTACAGCCTTAGGTCTGTTTTTTCTCTCTCATTACCTTCTAGGCCACCACCAAATCAAGCAAGGGACCTGTGAGGTTGTTGCTGTGCACAGATGCTGCAATAAGAACCGCATTGAAGAACGTTCTCAAACAGTCAAGTGTTCCTGCTTCCCAGGACAGGTTGCTGGCACAACTCGGGCACAGCCTTCTTGCGTTGAAGGTAAGACCTTTCTGGTTACTTTTTTCATCACTTGTAAAACTACCAAGAGCTTTCCTACTTTATTGTAGATGTATAGGTTGCTTCCAGGTCGCTGTCAGTCCAAAAATGGACATAAATGTGACTCCAAAAACTTCTTGATGAGTAAGGTAAGTCTGTATTGTCTTCCCTTAGTGCAAACACACATGGACTGTGTGGTCAAAGGTGGTATGTATTAGCAAGATGTCAGCTGCCTGTAAGTGGAGATTCTCAGATAGACAATTTCTTGTCAGGGACCAACCAAATGTGTTGCCAAATTTAGATTTCATTTAAATTTTAAAAGAGTAATAGCCTTTCTTGCACAGTGGTTAAAGTGCTCAGCTGCTAAACAGAAGGTTTGCAGTTTGAACCCAGTAGCTACTGCACTGGGGAAAGATGTGGCAGTCTGCTTCCATAAACCTTTACAGCCTTGGAAACACTAACGGGGCAGTTCTACTCTGTTGTGTCGAATTGTCGATTCGATGGCAGTGGGTTGGTTTGTTTGTATTTTTTGTTAACATAGTACCTTATAGGTCTATTATGTAAGATACCTAGTAAGATACCTAATGGGTTCCTTGGCAGCACCCATGTTATTGTTGTTGTTATGTGCCCTCGAGTCAGACCTGACTCATAGCGACCCCTCTCTGGGTTTGGACCTCCAGCCTTCTGGTTAGCAGTCAATTGTAGATATTAATATTTCTGCAGTGAAATATATGAATATTCATGTCGAATGACATAAGGCAAAATGAAGAACCTCATGTTAATTCAGATCGGGTTTTACTGCCACTTCTTTCCATTTTTAGAGCTTTTTGGATTGGGGAATTGTAGATAAAAGATTATGGACCTGTAAAAGATGATAAAGACCTTTAGCTTTTAAAGAAATTGGCTAAATTCCTGTACCTCACCCAGATGATACAGTATGCCGTATTTACGTTCTCCATCAATTGAAAGAAAAGCAAATCATGCCCATTCTGGCTCTGCCCTCTCTCAAATCAGTCAGTCCATTTTTCTCTATCCTGGCTGGCTGCTACTTCCACAGTCTAAGGTCCAACACTGCATTTAAAAGCAGGAAATTTTGTCAAGTTTGTTACTCCTGTTCTTTCATTCTCTACTCTGTAGCCAGAATGAACCTTCTGTGAAAACAGAACTGATCATGTAAAACCACACCTCTGTGACTTCCCACTGCCTTTAAGGTAAAATCATCCAAATTCTGTACCACGGTTTACAAAGCCCTGCCTGACCCAGCTCGTCTCATTTTCCCTTCCCACTACCACGTGCAGCCAAATGGGAATTCTTTCCATTTCCTTTCATCTCTGGGTTTTACATTTCTGTCTTGGCCTGAATCATTGCCTACCTTCCTCCACACATCTTTTTTGTACTTAATTCCTACTCTTTCCTATCTATATTTTTGTGTCTCTCCAAACTTTTAGTTCATGACATCTATCCCATTTTGTGGTAAAACCTTGTTAAACCTTGTTGAATGCTGTTTCTTTCTGGTTAGACTATCAACAGATTAAGGGAGGAGACTAAATCTGTTTTAGGTACATCTCTCCCCAGTTGTCTGGCCCATAAAAGAACCACAACAAAACCAGTTGTTGTCAAGTGCATTATGACTCCAAGTGCATTATGACTCATGGCAATCCTGGATATCTTAGAGTAGAACTGCTCCATAGGGTTTTTAGTAGCTGATTTTTTTTTTTGGATTTTGGAGGTAGACAGCCATAACTGATGTGATGCTAAGTACATGTTTGGGGAATGAAGGCACGTGAACAAATTGTAGCACAGAGGAGAGTTGAAGAGTTGATTCATCATTAACCATAGTTTGGCCTTAAAAGGTAAACAACTGTGTGTGTTTGCCTTTACAGGTTTGAAATTTATTCTAAAAGAATTTATAAATTGCAGCATACTGTTTTTTATAGTCAGTCTACTCTAGAGCCCTAGGGTATAAAGAAATCTTTCCTGTAAATTATGATTTTTTTAGTACTCAAACCACTTTTATTAATGTGTAGAAGGTACTGATAGGGTAGTGAGTATTACTAACATCTTCATTAATACCTTATGCTAAACTGGCTTGTGTTAAATTTTGCACATGGGCAAAATACCCATTTATTTATTCAGAGATATCTTTAGAAAATATGTGATAGATTTCACGTATGGTGTGTTACACAAGTCGTATCACATTGGATATTTCGTAATCTAAGTAGCTTTATTCCTATCAGTATTAGTTTGTAGAGATCTTTATGTGCTAGTATATATAGGTGTACCTATAGGTGTACCTTGATCTTTTCAACTGTTCCACAGGATTCTATTGTGTGGATAGATCATAATCCTGTATTGATGGGCATTTAGGTTATGTCCATAGAAAAAAAACAGACTCACTGGCTAACTAGATAGGTCAGAGGATCAATAAGTGATGATCCAGTTATGTGACATCTGAGCAGTCTATAGAGAGCACTGTCTGTGATGATGGAAATTGAATTGTCCATATGTACATTGCTGCTGTAACAGAATTACAGGTGGGTGGTTTTAAAAAACAAATTTATTTTCTCACAGTGCAGGAGGCCTAGAAGTCCCATTTGAAGGCACTCATTCTCATTCTAGGGGAAAGCTTTCCAGACTCTGTCAGTTGTGAGGGGAAAATCCTTGTCTCAGCCTCTCTGGAGTTCTTTTAGATGTACCTAACCTGCTCCTTTCATATCTCTAACGTGGTTAGGTTTAAGACACATCATTTACTGACATGGCCTCACTAACCTAACAGAAAAATCTATTCCCAAATGAGATTCCATCCACAGACAGAGGGGTTAGGATTTCTGACACGTAATTTGTAACAGTAGTCAATAGCCATATGGAGCTATTTGTTCTTTTTTTTGATATTTATAATTTGGGTAAAAGTTTACAGAGCAAATTCAATTTCCCACAATGCAATAGCTCCCCTCCTCATAGTTACCTCTTCCCTGTGTCCATCCCTCCATGCACCATGCACTCCTGGCTCCCTGTACATACACAGCCTTTCTGTTCTCCCATGATTGTTCTCCAACTCTATCCAGGATCTCCTACAGAGATCCTCCTCCAAGTGGTTGACAGTGGTAGCTGGGCACCATCTTGTTCTGGTCTCATAGTTGTATAGGCCAAGCAACTGGTATACCATATGATCCTCGGCCTAATTGTTTCCATGAATCTTTGGTTTTCTTCATTCTTCTTTGTGGAGCTATTTTTGTGAGCCCTTGAAATGTGTCTAAAAAACTAAAAATTCATTTCCTCAGTCTCATTATAGTTTATATTAAAATGCAATACACTCGGGTGGCATAGTACATAAGGCACTTGACTGCTAACCAGAAGGCTGGCACTTCAAACCCCCCAGCCACTCCTTGGAAGAAAGTTTGGGCAATCTACTTCAATAGTGATACTGCTTTGGAAATCCAAGGAGGGGTTACTATGAGTTGGAATCTACTCAATGGCAGTGAGTTTGTTTGAGTAGGCACATTTGGCAAGAAGCCTGTATATTGGACAGTATAGGAGAAGTTTATATAAATATGTGATTTTAGGACAAGAGTTGTGAGAGACAGACTACCCAAAGATGAGGCTGTGGTTATGTCTTCATCTTCTGCTGTATGCAGTTAGCATAGTGTGGATGTTTATCGAATCAAAGTAACTGATCAGGTGCAGGAAGTTGTAGTTCAGGCATGAGGCATGTGTTAGACAGTGAGTCTGTTTTCATATCATCCTGTTCTTCTGTTCCTTATGTTTCCATTGGAGATTTTTAGCTATGCCTGCTTAATCTTTATCCCATAATAACTATGCAATATCATGCTATTAATTGGCATGTGGGAAGATCTAGTCTCTGATGATATGTTCTTCTTATCTTATTTGTCAATAAAAATAGAGAGGCTCTAAAACATAGGATTCACTTGAATTTACATTTAAATTAAAACAAAGACAAACAAAGGCAAAAGATGTTGCAGTGGAACACTAATTAATGTTGACATAGAAATTAGAATATCCTTACATAGTTACATAGAAATAGAAATTAGAATATCCTTATGCATTTTTGTTAATCCATACCATAGATACTTACCTAGTATTTTTATTTTCATTGCTTTTGCATAAAATCATGGGTGTTATTAGTTGAACAGTCTAATTTTATTAGAAAAATTAGCTGGTGGTTCCTTACCCCCAGCAAAACTTATCTCATGGGGGGGGGCAGAACCTGAATTATTGGACTGTGTCTGTGGTTACTTGAAGGAGCCCTGGTGTTGGCATCATTGCTAACCAATAGGTTGGCAATTTGAACTACCCGTCTGTAAGTGGGAGAAAGATGTGGCAATCTGCTCCCATAAATATTATAACCTTGGACACCATATGAGGCAATTATGCTCTATGCTCTGTCCTATGTGGTCTTTATGCATTGGAATCGATGTGATAACAGTTTGATTTTGGGTATGGTATTATGGTTATAGTTATTTATGGTTATGGTTATTTAGGTCCTAAAACAGATAGGTGGTAGTTGTGTGTTTTTTTTTTTTTTTTTTTGCCTGAGTAATCAAATTATTTTCTCACAGTTGAGGAGGCTAGACATGGAAACCCAGGGCATCAGCTCTTGGGGAAGGCCCTTGTTTCTTTGGCGATTACAAGGCTGTTTTTGTGGTGGGAACTCTATTCTACAAACTTAACAAAATAAAAAAAAATATAGTTCAACAAAGATGAATTATCATATGATAAAATGAGATGAATGTGTAGCACAATAAAGCTTAATTTATTTTATCAAAGAGAATTTTTTCTGAATAAAGATTGATAAGACTGAAGCTTAGGAATAGGAGTGGAGTCTTTTTTTTTTTTTTTTTATGATGCCTGAATTTTTCTACTTTTCTGAGATGTCAGTTTGCTTAGTTAAGCTTAGTTAAGGATGAGTGTTACTATTTGTACTGCCAATAACCTTCATGGCTTTAATGGCTTTATGGGGGATGAGACACAGGGTCTTTATATCA